GACTGCCCTTCTTTTGGGGACCCATGGTCGGGGACCCGTGGTGGGGGCCCTGGCAGCTCCCCAGCCTCCCTGCCTCCAGCGTGTGGCTGTGTCCCCCGCAGGCAGCCTGCCCTACGAGTACAAGGTGGTGGTGGCCGGCAACCACGAGCTCACCTTCGACCAGGAGTTCATGGCCGACCTCATCAAACAGGACTTCTACTACTTCCCGTCCGTGTCCAAGCTGAAGCCCGAGAACTACGAGAACGTGCAGTCGCTGCTGACCAACTGCATCTACCTGCAGGATGCCGAGGTCACCGTGCGGGGCTTCCGCATCTACGGCTCCCCGTGGTGAGTGCGCCCGGCCACCCCAGAGCTGAGGCTGAGATCCGGGACGTGGGGGTGGGAGCCGCAGGGAGCTCTGAATCTCTTCCCTTCGTCCTGTGTGACCCTAGGCAGGTTCCTGCCACCCTTGGGCCTCGTTTTCCCCACATGTAACCTGGAAGGGTGACATCAGCTCTACCCTGTGTGCTGTATATTGTCTCACAGGACAGCATGTTGCTATCATCTCCACTTCATAAACAGGGAAACTGAGGCACAGAGAGGGTAGGGGCCTTGCCCGAGGTCACACAGCTAGGAAGAGGCAGACTGGATGAAGCCCAAGCGGTCTGTCTCCAGAGGTCTGCTTTCAACCGCGGGCGCACAGCCCTGGAGTCTTTCTCCCCGAGCCTCCTGCACAAAGGCGCAGACAGGAGGAGCGAAGTCGGAGTCTTCCTGGTGGCCAGAAGCTGGGTGTACTACGCAGGGAGGGCAGCTGTTTACAAAACCGGCCCATGTGGGCTCTGACTCTGCCTGGGGACAGTGATCGGGGCTCCACTCTGAGCTCACCTGGCCAGGTGGTGGTCAAGATGAGAGACAGTCTTGACCCACCTGTGTGATGGTCGGTGTGTTCACCGAAACCCTGGTGATGGGATGGCGATGGTTGTCATGGTGACGATGGAGATGGTGAGGTGGGAACCATAGTCATGGTCCAGGTGCAGACGGT